CCTGCTGGTGAGACACTCAGCTTAGGGATGTTCAGACAAAGACCTCTGAGCATCGATGCTGTTGGAGATGCAGGGAAAAACATTTGAATGCATGAAAGATTATGTATTTACTCTTAATATTCATATTGTCTACAATGATAAACTGAGTTAAGCATTCACCATTCCTTGCTTCACCTTGGGAACTTTAAGGTATTCACTTTTTGCTGTGTAAGACTGTGCTAAGTTCATTCTGACCTAATAAATTTTTAGCACCCTGGGGTAGAGGGAAGGAGGATTGTATTTAGTCACTTGAAAGTCTCGGTCCTCTGCTCAGGGCTTTGTCAACTACAGAACTTAAAAATTGCAGCAATCAAGCAAAAAGTAGCTGGGAATGCAGGTGGGTTGGCAAAGTCAAGTGTCAGATTGTATTATGCCTCTTATGTTTACTAATATACTTGCTATGGTTTCATTGCTGTATTGAAAAGAACCAGGAGGAGGCAATTAATGATTTCCTTTTCAGCTACATGAGAAATATTTTGATATCATGAGTCATTGGTGGCCATGGAGAAAAACATAGTCTTTAAGCCAATTGAAAGAAAAAAATATATTATTTTACTGGCAAGTGAGTTGCTCTTCCAGGTTTATAATTTTAACAATGAATCAGCTGTGGAGAACATTATTTAACTTGCTTTCACAACCAGTAGACTTATATGAATAATGTTTGGGTTTTTTTCTGCCCATACAGTAATTTTTTTCCCAAAGGAATGTCAACATTTGCAGAAAAGATAATTGCTTTTAAAAGAAAATATGTTTTTACCTGTCCCCTTCATATAAAAAACTTGTGCGTAAGCCATAGAAAACTTTTCTGTAATTATATAATTTCTCACTAATGTGCCATTATAGCTCAGTTGATACCAACAAGAAAATGTTAAAGTCACTGCTCTAAGGTTTTGTGAAGAAACTTCAGCTCCCTTGTTTATAAAAATATTACACAAGTATAAACCACAGTTATTTAAGATTAATTTTTCCTCTTCTTTCTTCAGATTCTCTCTTGTAGGTCTCAGCCAAAGCTCAAAAAGCAAGTTTGTTTTTCCAGGCTCTCGAGCAGCTCTGTGAGCTCTCATGGCTCCTCACCAGCACGAGTACAGCAAATCCACTCACCTGTTGGAGCCTTCCCACTTTTGTAGGTGGCTGAACCTGGGAAGCTGTGGTAAGGCTCTTGTCTCCAGACCTAGCCAGGGAGCTGACTTGCTGCTCTGTCCTGGCCTTTTTGTAGTAAAACCTTAGGATGCCTGTAGGCAGCAAACATCTGTTTGTGTAGCTGTCGGTGAGTCTTTGGGGAGATGAACTTTTTTTGTGCCGTTTTCTTGCCTGAGTCACGATTGCAAATCTGAGGTCTGGGCTCAAGTTGTATTTAAACAGCAGACATTCACCTGTGAATATACTTCCTTTTGTTTTTATTTCACATCTTTTAAGATGACAGAGAAGGTATATTTTGTCTAAAATGCTAAGACTGCTCTTGAAAGGCTAGTGCTTTCTTCTTGAAAGGAAGGCTGTAATCAGCTGTTACCTTGCTCAGCATTTTGCTGTAAAGAGGAGGTTGGACCGATCTTCTCTGCTTGTGTGAAAACTGAAATGAATTGAGGGTTGTCCTCTGCAGGAAAGGACTATAGCTTCAGTTTGTACCATAGCAAGGACTGTAGTTATTCTGCAACTTAGCTAAACCTGATATGCAGGTAGGATTTAACTCTTGCTGCAAATTGCCACTTGTTTGTTGCTCTGGCTGTACTGCTGTACGAATCTCTTGGGTTTGTTTCCCTCCCCCCCCCCCTTGGATTGCTTGTAATAAAATACTTGTATATTTTGTAATAAGGCCATTAGTCCAGTCATACTAGCCAAGAACGTGCATTTGCAAGTGAGGAGGGCGGACTTACTAGAAGCAGAGTGGAGAAATGTTGGAGGAAAAAGAGAGTGAAGACCACCAGGTGTTACACTGGAAGTGCAATGTGAGAAGTCAGTGTAGGAATTGCCAGTGAATTCGTATTCCTCAATGAGAAGTTCATTTTGTAATATAGCATAATAGAGCAAGGGATTCAGGTGCATGGCAGAGCCTTCTTAAACCCCAATCCTGGGGGTAGAAAGAACTGATGAAATAAAATCCCATCTCTAAGAAATAATAATTTTTTCTTGTGACACAAATTTCATAACTCACAACCAGTAGGGATCGTAGGCATGCTGGACCTTTTAACATACAGAGAGCAGGATCAATAGGGAATTCCTAACAAAAGTACATCTTTACATGTTCAGGAAAAAGCTGGTGAGTTTCAAGCTGGTCCTCTTTATTTAATTTCATCAGTTATTTGTCCTGTTGTAATTTCATTTAGATCACAGAGATTTGTTAGTTTTGTATTTGCCTTTACAGCACATAGCTGTAAAGAAATGTCTATGCCTATAATTAAATATTGTTGTGGTAATTATGTGCACAAAGATTACTTTGGGGCTGCTTAAAGAGGAGGGGAACAGAGCAAGGAAATCAGAGTGCTGCCAGAGAAAGGGAGAACGAATGAATCCATCTAAAACTGCAAGGGGAAGTCAGTTGGATGGAATGTAAATCTGCATGGTTGAATTTGGCAGAGATGTTAATGCTAATACTATTTCTGATGTAAGAAGTTACAGAAGGGCCTTTTTCTATTATTTTATGATGACTGGGATTCAGTTGCACATTTTGTCTGAATACTTGTGCCTCCCTGCACCTGTAGTTCATGGCACAATACTTTATAACACCTTGTAGGATGTTTGATTTAGTATTGGCTCAGAAGGAAGATTGCCATTTCACGAGTTACCAGCAGTACTCTTTTATTTAACATCTGGGGTAAACTTGCAGCAAGGAGGTTAAACCAGACAATTTTCCTTAAATCTTGGACAGGTTTGCAGATGGTGATGGAATGACTACGGGGTGCACACTTTTATTCCTCTGACACCCCTGGGGAAAAGAAGCATAGAGAACACAAAGGAAGATGAGTTGAATTTGAAATTAAAAAAGCTTCCAAACCAACAAACACACACATACACACATACATTTGAAAGATCATTTAAAAGAATAAGAGGAGAAACAGAGCATGATGTGGAAAGCTACTGAATTACCCTCCTGAATACTTCAGCTACAATGTTAAGTAAATTAATGCCGAATGCATAGAATACATGAGCCTAGAGCAGTTTGTATGCTGGAGATCAGAAAGCACAAATACAGTGAATCTGACCAAAATTCATTGGGCTGTGTGTATTAAAGACACACAAAAAAAGAGCATGTTCAGTCACATACCTTAAAAGATCATAGGGGAAACATAAAATCAGAGGTGGTAGGAGAGTGCACAGTTCTAGGAGACCTGTGTAATCTCTTTTCCAGAATATTGAAAGAAGGGGTGTGTGTAATTGATAATGCAACAGGAAGTCTTCCTATCGTATCTGATATTTGGAAACTCTAGTCTCTGACTGGAGAAAAGCAAACTTATTAATCTGAGTTGAGAGGAAAGGGGGGAAAAAAAGAGAGATGACTCGAATTTCCAGACTTCACCAGTGTGCAAAGTCTTGAAAACCGTTCTTGCAGCAAGACTGCTCTAGAGCACATACATGCTTGTTTGTGGTCATATCAGATTGGCAGTGCAACTGATGGGCTGTATAAAATAGCAGAAGTTTTGTTCTGAACTGCTGAATGCGCAATTTAATCTCATTCCTATTATTCCAGTCCACAAGGTTATCATAGACAGAGAACTGAACAATCCACTCTCCTCTTCAGTATTGATGAAATGCATATCCATTCATCTAGGTCAATGACAAATTATTGAAGATGAAAGTCCACAAAGTGGAATAAACTACAGGATCAATTAAGCCATAGCAGAATGGCTTTTTTTGTTGTTGTTGCTGCTGTTATTAAAATAATAACGGGGGTGTGCTACCTAGGTTTAAGCACAGCACTTGAAACAGAGAGCCTTAGAAAGCTTATTTAGTGAAGAGATTATAGTGATACATGCTAACTGATGAATAAAGATCTGGTTAAATAGACTTCACAAGGCTGTTTTCAAATGGGACTTCTTGTTTGCTGTGGTTCCATCACATGCTGATAGGGACACAAAATTGCACGTTTTCTCAGCTCTGAAGAGAGTTCAGTTCTCTGGGTATGATAATCTTCTGGACCAGAATAAAAACAATGAGATTAAATCGTGCATTCAGCTGTAAAGAATAAAACTTTTGCTATTTTATACAGTGCATCACTTGCACTGCCCGTGTGATGAGAACTGTGCACGGGTCTGGTGTGATGTAAGACTGCAAGGCACTGGGAACAGCTCAGCCAGGAGAATTCCGTGCATTTACGTTTTCTGGGAATAAATGTGTCTACTTTAACAAGGAGATGGGCGGAAAAGGGGTTGTAAGATGACGGGAGGAAATAATAACAGTTTTAAAAAAGTAAAACAAACCCCACCCCGCAATAAACCAACATTCCATGGCAGGAAATTTTAAAAAAACAGGTTTAACTTGCAAGAACGAAGACTGAAAATAAATATGATGTAATAAGGACAGGTGGGGGTTTAAGCATTTCTTCTCCTTTGCTGCTATCTGAAATGAAACGAGGGGAAGAGTAAATCGCCACGCACACACCCAAAGCGGACATTTCTAAGATCTCAGGAAAGAAATTAGGGTTTGCAACACCCTTCCTTGAAAGGCCGGGGCAGAGGGACTGTGGCTCCATCGGCGGGGAAGTCTTTGTGCTCATGGAATGGCCAGAACTGAGACCTGAGGACTTGAAACCCGGCTTTGCAGGGCGAGGAGGATGGTGTGGGGAAGGTGGTGGTAGGGAGAGGAAAAGCTCCTCTCCTTTCGGGACCCCCCCGTCCCTCCCCCCGTTCCCTGCCCGGACAGCGGGTTCCGGCTCAGCCTGAGGGCGTCACTTCCCGGGGCGGAGCGGGGCGGACCGTGGTAGGTGCCGGGAATCCGGGAATGGCGGGGAGCGGGGGATTTTCCCGCACCCTCATCCCCCTCAGCGGTCGCGCCCGGGCCGCGGCGATGGAGCGGCTGCGGGGCCGGGGCTGCCCGGGATCCTCCGGGAGGCTTCAGCTCCTTGGGTTTAGTCCTAAACGTTCTTGTGCCTGAGCCCCAACCCCGTCCCCCCTCCCTCCTTTTTTTTTTTTCCGGCCAAAAACCCCTCGTCCCGAACAATTGTTAAAAACAGCCCTGCAGCCGTGAGAGTGGGACATACAGCGATTTCGGGGAGCACGAGGGTTGTTCTGTGCCTGGATTTGCGGCGCTCAGATGCTGCCTTATTTAAAACTGCTGTTTACGTGTCTGCTTTTTTAATAAAGGTAATATTTTACTGAGTATGATAATAAAGAGAGGACGCGCTATTGAAAGCTGTGTGGCTACTTTTCGTCGTGTCTTTTTAGCGGGAAAAGGGAACTATCTTTATTCAAGACAGTAGGTACGGGTAAAATAAAAGCTGCTGGTCACCTGTGTAGACAGGTTTCATTTGAGTCCTTACAAGTGCTTTGAAGAAAGTAAAAATGTTTCTCTTTCTCTTTAGGGCGTCTGCAAACAGAAGTGAACTGATACCTCTGGTACTTTTTAATTCCAAACAAGATGAGGATCCCCTCTTTGCTGATGGGATTCCCTCGTTATTTCTCCAGAAGAACTTACTTCATGAACTTCGTTTCCAGAGCCGATTTTCTGTGCATTGGATCTCTTGCATCAGTGCACCACTGTCGTACAGAATGGATGTGTTCATCGAATGGTTTGAGGAGAGAGCTCTGTCAACAAGCTGAGCAGCAAATAGAGGGACTTTCTGACAGAGAACAAAGACTCGTAGACAGACTTTACAATGGACTAATCCAGGGTCATAGAGCCTGTTTAGCCGAAGCCATTACACTTGTAGAATCAACTCAGAGTAGGAAGAAGAAAGTAGCCCAGGTGCTTCTTCAGAAGGTATTATCCTACCACAGGGAACAAGAAAAATTAAATCAAGGAAAACCACTTGCCTTTAGAGTGGGTTAGTCCTTTTATATCTGTCTAGTAGTTGCTTACGTGGAATTGCAGTTCTCACCTTTCATTATCACTATCATTTGTGGTCTGTAGTCTTGGATTGTTGGTTTTGTGGGGTTTGTAACCAATTAGATCACTTCTGTTGTCCAGTCATCAATTATGGCTTGATCTGAAAGATGCTTTTGAAAAAGCATTAGAAATTATTGTTGCATCTTGGGGGTGTGTTATGTGGGGTGTTTTTTTTAACTGTTATAAGCTGAAACGTTAGGTGGTTTGCAGATTGATTCAGATATCATCTACACCTAGACAAGAAAGGATGTAGTCAAGCAGACCTGATCTTTCTGCAAAGAAGGGGTTTTCTTGAATCCCTTTTTCGATTTACAAAAGACAAAACATGTACTTTCCTGTTTTGTGACCTTCCTTTAAAGCAGCCTACTTTTCAGCTGAAAGAGACTTGCACCTGATTCTCTTGGAAGCTCTGAAATATTTTCCCCTTGCTAAGAGATGGGCTACTAATGTATGTCATGCCCAGCTCATTTCTTGTATCATCTTTACCAAGGTAGTAAGAATAAGAACTTGGGTGTGGGAGTAAGAAAAGTTTGGTGCTAATCTTAGTTTGTGAGCTTTGACACCCAAGTAAATGGCCTCATTTTTTGAAGTAACAGCTCTGCAAGGTAAGGGCTTTTGCTTTTACAGTGTTTCTTTTATAAATGTCAGTACATCTGAAAAACGCAGTTTTAGGATGAAATGTCTTGAAAGTTCTGAAAGGTAAGTCAGTGTAAGTAAATTTATTTGGAGGGAAGTAAATATGTCTGGATAATGTTATGTTAGTGTGGGTGGGATTAAGGGTAGTGAAGTGAGGGCTGCTGTGTTGGGTGAATCAAGATGGTGTATTTTGAGTGAATTACAACTGCTTAGGTGGTGTAACAGTTTTGACATATCTTCTATTTGCCTTCGCTGTGATATTGTGTTAGAGTTGTTATCAACTTAGATGTTGATGGTGTTCATGTGATATATTATTCATTTGATTAACAAAATGTTTTTTCCTTTTTAATATGATTATTTAGGGTTGTCTGGTCCTCCTGGTGCTGGGAAATCGACTTTCATAGAGTGCTTTGGGAAAATGCTTACAGAAAGAAAACACAAAGTGTCTGTGCTGGCTGTAGACCCTTCCTCTAGTACAAGTGGTGGTGAGTGTGAATTAAAGTTTGAGTCTGGTTTCCAATACCTTGTCAACTATAGGAGTATCTCTTTGGGCCAAATGGAGAAAAATATTGAATGTATCAGGTTTTCATTTTTTTCCTCATTTGATATGAAATTGGGAAAGAGGTATCAGTCTCCTAACTTTGTGACATTTCCTCTTTTCCACTGTTGGAATGTTCAGCCTTACAGGTTTTTTTTTTTTGAATTTGAATTTCTTTGAAGCTGCGTGGCTGTAACGTGTCACTTTCAATAAATAAAAGATCGTAGGGGAATTATAAGCTGACCATGCTTGATTCATGGTATTCCTGACATAAATATAGAATCTTGATTCTGATCTTTTTCTGATGGGCAGCTTCCAGGGAACATCATTAGTTTTTTCAGCTTCTGTGCTGTTACAGAAGATGCTGTGATGCGTAACTATTTATAAAGACAAAAAACTTCAGCATTGCAATGACCTGGCCTAAGACAGACCGTATTCTTGAGTGCATGCATTCAGGATGCATCAGAATAGCAAAATATGATAGCAAGACTGCACCAGTTGAAAGAATTGAGCATCCCTCATCTTTTGGAATGTGCGTTGTGTGCATAGATCTTGCTGAGGCTGATGCACAATTTGTTCAAATAGATTTATGTCAGATTTCTTACAACAAAAAAATCCACCATCAAGATGTATCAGAATCATAATGCAGATATTTGTTCCTTTAGACAGAAACAGCAAATATTTGGTTGTGTGGCCTGGTGTGTGTAGGCCTCAAAAAGCCATTCAGGAGGTGTGGAATTAATTCTGATCTGGAACAAATTCTTTGTATTTGATAGCAATAGGGTCTGCTTATCAGGCCTCTCCAGCTTCTGATAGGTGGAAGAACCAGGCCATAACTTCCTAGTCCTCAGCAAAGTCTTGACCAGCTGTTGCTGGGATATTCCTGTTTGACTGACTTAGCCCAAAAGGTCTATCTTTTCCTGCTCATTTATTGGTGGGAGGGAGAAGGGGAAGTTTGGCTGTGTTGCACTTCCGAAATAATTTAACATTACATGTTTAAGGTTCTCTGTTGGGTGATAAAACACGGATGACTGAGTTGTCAAGAGACATGAATGCTTACATCAGACCATCTCCAACCAGTGGGACACTGGGAGGTGTAACAAGGACCACAAATGAAGCCATTCTGCTGTGTGAAGGAGGAGGCTACGATGTTGTTCTTGTGGAAACTGTAGGTATGTGTTTAGGGCTTCCTTTTAACTGTCCTGTTGTGATATCTAAATAAGGTGTGTTCCTAATTGCATGCTTTCATCCTTGAGTTTGTTTCATACGTGGTCACTGGTTGAACACGAATGCCCATTCTGTCTATTTTCTGATCTTTGTCTTTTACAAAACTGTTGTGTTTTCTGTCATCTTTGTTTTGTTAGTGGGATTTGTTTGTGGTGCAGTGCTGGGATCTGTAATAATTATTGTCATGAATGTGATTGAAAGTTTGCAATAAATGGTGAAGTGTGAATTTAATTTTTTAGGTGTGGGACAGTCAGAATTTGCTGTGGCTGATATGGTTGATATGTTTATATTACTGCTACCACCTGCAGGTGGAGATGAATTACAGGTATTTCTCAGTTTCTCTTATTGAGTATTACCTAGGACTAGAAAGAGAAACTTAATTCAAGATGCAGTATCTGTGCAGAAAGTCCACATCAATAGTCCGTTACACTGCTAGTATCAAAGTATTTTCAGTGTCATCAATTTATTGCACAGCTAAGATCCAATATGCTCCCCTGATTTTGGAAGTATTAGGATGTAAAATTTTGATACTCTGTGACATACCTTTGACGTAATTACTAGTTACATAACATTTTTGGGAGTGGTTTTTGCATTATAGGAAAACAGAAATGAATATAAATAGTTTTGCAAACTTGGTCATGTTTTGGGTAAACCTGAGTCTCAGCACATGAAATAGGTTTACATGTGAACTCTGATGTCCATATGTAGTGTTCTTGTGTCAAAGTAGAGTAATATAATAACTAGTAATGACAGAGGGTGTTGGTACTACTCTTGCTTGACTGGCACATACACACACATGTACACACACCAAAGTCAGTCAGAGCCACTAGAAACTGAACTAGCATTTTGACCTGCTTTTTGTGATAAATCAGCATGTCACAGTCTTTCTGGGTGTTCCTGATTTCTCTCCATGTTCCACTTAGGGTATCAAGCGAGGTATAATTGAGATGGCAGATCTGGTTGCTATAAATAAAGCTGATGGTGATTTAGTTGTGGCTGCACGGAGAATACAGGCTGAGTACATCAGTGCTATGAAGCTGCTTCGCAAGCGTTCGAAGGTTTGGAGACCAAAGGTTTGTGTACTTCCCTGTGGTTTGTGTGTCAGTTTGGGTATGCCTTTGTTTTGTTTGGGTTTTGTTGGTGCATTTGGCTTTTTTCATTATTTTTCCCCCCCCCCCGGAAAAAAATACTGAATGAGTTAGGATTGGTATCCTCTCATCTAGCTGTACTAGTCTCCCTGGGCTCTTTTATAAAAAAAATTTTGGTTGGTTGTTTAGTTTTACACTGTGCTGGAGAGCTGATTGCTGCTGTTTGTGTGTCACCTCTGATCTCAAGGTGTGCCACATGAAACACTGTGCAAAGCCAGTCCTCCTTCCCGTGAGTTCTGTCCTGAGCTACAATCTCAGCACTGGCAGACCTATTACTAACATCAGTAGTGGTACAAACTTTACTTGCTTTTTGTAAACTGTGCATATCTTAAAATGTCCCATTGGCCATTTCTCCATCATTTGTAACTCTGAAGCCTGTGGTTATCTTTGTTCTTTCACTAGTACTTATGTTCCCTTTGCTTTAATATTTTTTCATTGCTCACAGAATGAAAGTTCTTGGGCAAGAACTTTGTCTACTTGTGTATGCAATGTCTAGATTATTGGAGTTCTCATCCCCTGGGTCTCCAGTTTTGATGCTGTATTTCATCTATTAAAAGGTTATGGTAAATTATAAAGGAGAAGATTCTGTACTAATTTTTAATGTGTGTCTATAGAATAAGCACAGGCACACACTCTCACTTCCTTTATTTATGTACATGTATCTATAAACCAGGTTTGCTCTACCCTGGTATTAAAATTGACCCATTGAATTAAGGTTAAATCAGTTGGGCTGCCTGAGGTTTAGCTGTCCTTTTGTAAGTGGGGGAAAGAGGCAGAGACTTCAAAAAACCCAGACTGTTCCATTTAAAAGACTGTGTTAGATATCTGAAATATTATTGGCAAAATTAATTCCTAGTCTGGAAAGTTGAGGCCAAAAAAATAGTCAAAATACCTCATTTTTGACATACTTTAAGTGCAAAAGAATAGCTACCAGAATATGTATTTCAACTCTACGTGTAAGTTAAAAAGCAATAATGTACCTTTTAGCTTAAGGTCTCATTAAAAATTATTCTCATTATACAAGCAGTTGGACAAGGCTTATTAATCCCAAATACTGTGGATCTCAGGGTCCAGTTATAGTTGGTAGAATCCAAATTTTGAGATATCTTTTCAAAAAAACCCCACAGAACCACCAGAGCCTCGTGAAGTGAGCGTGTTGAGTGAAGCTTGCGTTTCCTAATTTTCACGGAATTTACCTGGTGCAGTAATTGAACCCTCAAGCCCAGTAGTTCCTTGGCTTTAAAGATTCCTCTGAATCCAACAGGTAATGCGCATCTCTGCCAAAACTGGAGAAGGTATCTCGGACATGTGGGATAAAATGACCGAGTTCCGTGACCTCATGCTCACGAGCGGTGAGTTGATTGCCAAACGACGGAAACAGCAGAAAGTGTGGATGTGGAATCTCATCCAGGAAAACATGTTGGAACATTTCCGGAGTCACTTGGCGGTCAAGGATAAGATTCCACTTCTAGAAGAAAAGGTTCTTAGTGGAGTCTTGTCTCCTGGACTGGCAGCTGACCTGCTACTGAAAGCATTCAAAGATAGTCTCTAAGCATTATTTTCTTACTCTGTTCCTGATAAGTGCTTTATGTAAACATGAACATTAAATACGCTTTTTCTATGTGTGGATTCAAATGTTTTACTACAGCAGACATTAATGGAATACCTAGCCACTACTCTGCAAAAGAATACCACTGGATTCTGTATATGGGATGATCATGACAAATCCCAACACTCACTCAGAGATTACTACAGACTGTATTGGAAAAAAAGCACAAGCCCAGATCTTCTATTTGTATACACCATCGATCTGTTGATAGGAAATGGATGCCCATGTGAAAATGTGACTGGTTTTGGGAGGGTGTGAGAGTATTCTGGTTATGGGGTCATCTTAGGAACAGTTGACACTGCAGCTTTCCAATGTATTTTTTCTAATATAGCATCAGCTGTTGCCAGAATGGATTGCATTTTTTAATTTCCTCACCTTGAGTGACAGCAAGAACATTGGACTGCCTGACAGCACTTGACCACAGTCTTAGTTTTAAATAAATTGTGTGCATATAAATGGAACATAGTGGTGTTTAGTCCCTGTTGGAAGCTATAGTTAGTTATTATACACTGTACACAAGGAGAAGGGAATTTTAACCATCCCAAAATAGATATTTTAATGCAAAAGCAAAATTTAGTTAGACAGACTTTTTTTAAATGCAGACATCAGATGGAACAAATGTTACCCATGATGTTTTAATAGCATATGTCTTTATACTAGAATAATAGATCTCTAGAAATAATGGTTTGAGGTTTTTTGATCTGATTTACGTTTTCTGGATTTAGACAAAATGGCCAGCTGTGTTTTTGGTATTTTTTTCCTCTCTCGCAGAAGACATGACTGCTTACAACCAAAAACACTTTTATTTTTCATTTTTCTTTGAGAAAAATCTGGAGGAAGCATTTCCCTAAGCCGTGATCTAGAAAGCAGAGCTCATCTGGCACCTACTAAATGTGAAGGATGAAGTGGAAAAGTGCTGAGTTTTGGAGACCTGACTGAAAAAACAGTAAAATATGAGAGTGTGTGAGTCTATTGTTGCTTAGGTGAATTAACTTTTTAAAACATACATTGAAAGTGGTGATTTTCATAGTTTTTATTTTCTTAACTTGTACGTAAAAGGTATGATGTCTTTAGCTCACTTTCACCTGTTTGCCTTGTAGCAACCCAATTCCAGCATAGCAGTGAATTGGTTTACTTAGGTCCTCTTTTTTCCTTAATATTTTTTCCCCCCAAAGTATTTTTTTCTCTTCTTTCCCCTTATCCCAGCTTTTATACTGTGCTCCCAACTGAGTTTACTTTTTCCTGCTAGGCCTCTGGGCTTCAGAATTTTGATTCCTTCATAGGCATAATTTGGCAGTTGTCAGAAAAGATGAATGATTTCTGAAAATGCTGAGGATTTTGTTTCATTTGGTTTTCAAAGTGGCACAAATTACACAATGCAGAAGAAACCTCTATCCTTGATGCTAGTATTCCAGTTATTTTTACCATTTTATGATGGTGTCTATATAATAGTCCATATATTTTTATTCTAAATATACAAGGTATGACTAGAAAGTAAAAAGCAAACTGCAAGGCAAATTAAAAGTACTCATTAAAAGCCTAAAAGTAATGATTCCCATGTATGTTTACAGTGAAATACTAATGAAGGGCACTGTGGTGTTTTGTGGGGCATACAGCTCAGGCATTTCTTGGCTAAGAAGTCTTGCACTGGTGTAGCTGGTATTAGTGGTTTCCACCACATAAATTGTCAGAACTTCAGAGCCCTGACCCCTTATTCTTATTTCTCAATCCGTAATTTGGCGTTCTGGAGTTGGTTACATAGAAGCAGCTGAGGGAATGGAATAGAGGGAGTGGCAGAAGCACAGGCAGAAGCACATTATGACCATGCTGAGTTGTGAAAGAAATGTAGTGCTTATAGTTTCTTTTTCATTTAAACAGCCTCTATTGAATATGACAGAGAGTGCCCCAAACCAAAAGTAATGTCTCCTGTCCTTTCAGCTTTAGATATTGACTGTATTTTATGGTACCTAGTAGAAGAAATGACAGTCAGGTGGAAAATGAATTAATGAGAGCAGCAGCAGCATTTTAACTGGTGAGTTCACAACTTTTAGATAGTCCATTTGTTTCAGGTGGCAGTTTTTGAGGTGACCTCATTTGTGTTTGTCTGTTAGATCAAACCCTTATTATTGTCATTACTGCTGCTTCTGTCAGGGACTGCTGTTTTCCTTGTCTGTTATACATGAGCTGCCAAGCAAGTAAAATAGAACCTGCAGCTTTGTTTAAATGACAGCTGCTTAAGCAGAAAATGTTTTGCCACTTCTTCAGTATTTGTTTTCTGGTTGCAGGTCTGTTGATGCACTCAAGCCATGGGCCATCATTATTTTCTCGTTTTGTTGCTTCCTTTAAAATATCTCTAATTTACTAACGAACTCTTAGCAGAAGACAGTTCAATGGCTTAAGCAGGTTCTTTCAAATGCATTTTCCTCTTAAAGCAGAACATTAAATGAAAATCAGATTTGCCTTCTTTATGCTTGTGCCTCGTGCCTCAGTAGACACAGAAATACCCTGATACAGCTTGTAAAATTTTGCTGTGCCATGTTTTGGAGTCAACAGCTGTTCAATTAATTGTGCACTTCTGTTCATGCCCTCACAGGCTGGGGAAATGCATTGTCTTCAGAAGGGCTGCACAGCTTTAGCTGGTAGGCTACAACTCAGTAAACAATTTGGTATTTCCCAAGATAGGGAAGAGCATTTCCAGCTCATTATTTTTAGCTCTGTGGGATTAAGTTGGCTAAAATGCATTAAAATATTGTCATTCGAGTAAACAGGCTTCTTAAAACGATAGTAAACAAATCTGTTGAGTAGGATGTTGACATATTCCTAGTTTGTAGAGTTGTTAAGTTGCTCTCATGTTAACATTTAAAACCACAGCTACTGCAGAATAGTATGGGAAAATAATATAACTTTATGAGAAAACAATAGCAAGATTAAGTTTGTAGCTGAAAGTATGATAAACTGTTAGACAAATTGGGACAATTTTTGTTAGACAAATGGGAGGTAAGGAATAAACTGTTCAAATACATGAACTCATCTCCTATGGAGTCTTACACTTTTCTGTAAGAGTGAAACTTTTCCTCAGGTCCCTGTGTAATAGAATTTGCTCGTGTTTCACAGCTGGAAAAAACAAGTGTGATGAGATCAAGTGATTTACCCAGGACTCTGAAACAGGTCAGTGGGGTATAAGGGTTACAGTTCAATAGTCTTTTTACTCTGAGCCCCATGTATATTTACAGCCACGTTACTTAAGGTTGAAAAAATGCTCTTAGCAAGTTCATGCTCTTAGTGTGACTTATTCCCTTCATATCTAATCTCTCTGTTTTCAGCGACAGGACCCAGTGACCCCTTCTTGACTACTGTTCTGTTGTAATGTCCTGCTTTAAGTAATAAAAAACTTTTCTTTCATATCTAATTTGCCCTCTCCTTTTGTAAATGCATTACTTCTTGTTCTGCATACTTTTCAGTCTTTATGTTCTCCTCATATATGTTGTTTCTATATTAGTGAAATCTGCAGTGTGTTGGCTACTTGTGGCTCTTGAGATTTTTGGGGATGGGAGTTGAGCAAAGCTAAAGAATACTAACGAACCTTTTTTTTTTTAACCATATGCAGTTCCCTTCTCAAAGGTTTCTTTCTTAAAATAATGTGGCAAGATTATTCAATAACTGACTCACTTTCTACTGGTGTAAACATACTTATTTCCCTTTTACTTTTCCTTCCTTGGAGTGCTCCGTTGCTCCCCCCTTGGATGCACAGTCAATAGGTAACATTATCCATGAGTTAAAATGAGAAACGTTTTTACAGAACTTAGTGTAAGTATTCCTGCTGGACTAGTCTCAAACATAATTTGAGGAATGATTGAACAGAAGTTGATAAAACATTGTATTTAAAGAAAAATCAGTATGTTTATATTTCCTGGAACTTATGATTTGGACAATCATCAGTTCACAGGTTGTCTAGCAACAGGATTCCTCTTCCAAAAACTAGTTCAGATGTTCCATGGTTATATTCCTTACAGTTTATTTAAAAATAATCCACCTGCCTCATGATAGAACATTAACCAAACTTGTGGATTGAGAATAAAAATTTCAAAATTGAAAATTCATAAGCAATTAGTACGTATTTAGAATGGAAAGATGACATACTCCATTCCCTGCTGCCATAACAAGGTATGGTTCAGCTGGTGAACAAGCAAGGAAAAGGGGAGCTGACACAGATGGCAGTGTGTGGAGAAGGTATGTTATGGAGCAGCCAGAAGAATGTCTATTTTTCTCTTTCCTCCCATGGGAGCATAAGAATTATCTTGAATAATTCACTGGCAAGTCACAGAAAATGGTGTGATCCAGAGCATTTGCTGTGTGAGGCTTACAAAAGTTATAAATTCAATTCCCTTTCTTAATCAGGCATTGGAATGGGCTGCCCAGAGAGGTGGTGGATTCACTGTCCCTGGAGATTTTTAAACGCAGATTGGACGTGGCACTGAGTGCCATGATCTAGTAAATGGACTGGATTTGGACCAATGGTTGGACTCGATGATCTCGGAGGTCTTTTCCAACCCAATCGATTCTATGATTCTATGATTCTTCTAAGGATTTGTATGTTCCATGGGACCAGTCTGATGTGACACTTGTTGGAACTGGGTGGGTTTGTTTGTGATTTTGGGCTAAGTGGAGAATAGTTAGAAGTTCTTGTAGTTTGCATAAATGATAGTTTACATGTAAGAAAGAAGTCAAAATTTTCACTTTTCCGAATGCGTGATGAGGTTCCTGTCTTTTTCCTTAAAATACTATGGCAGAGTGAGTTCCTGCTGTATGTTACTATGTCTTCATTTTCTCTTTCTTCTCTTCCACTGGTAGAGTAGCCTAAAAAAGGCTTTACTTACGCACCTTTTAACGTTACCCAAATATTCATGAGGTTAATCAGGGATTAACACAATTTTTGCTCTGTTTCTTCAATTGCAAGTGACTACTACAACCTAAAGATTATAACCTGTTAGAACCCCAAGGCTCTTACAACTTCAGATGGCTGGGCTGGCCTGCACTGTGCGGACTGCAATGGCTGGGGATGTGCAATGTGTGTATAATGAGAAGATGCTCCGTGGACTGCGTGGCCCGTAGCGTTACGCAGCCACACGAAAGCGGGTTCCTCTCGGCCCTGAATCTGCGATCCCGTTTGCAGTTCTCTAATTGCCACCAGCAGAAGACAGGAGTAATGTCAGGGGTTTTTTTTTATGGCTCGTTGCTCGTTGCCTAGCAGCGTTGATCAACAAAAGTACAACCTTTTCTTTTCCTGTAACCTCGGTGAACCCAGGCTTGGACAGAGATCACCAGCAGGGAACAAGGGGTTCTGAAGTCGTGTGAAACTGTTGCTCGGTGTCTGTTAGCAGTGTCTGAGGGAAACCGTCTCTTCTTGACCTCTTTGTTACCTTTGCCCTCTGGTCTTCCTTCTCTCTCTCATCAAATCTTAGAATAAAGCAGGCACCATCCTAGGAAGATGTGGAGGATGAGAAGTTTAGAGACAAGTCAACCATGCTAAGGTGTATCCTGCTGTTTTTCGGGAAAAAGAGCTGAGCCGATTCTCAGACCGTGGTGTCAGACCCTCCTCTCATGGAAGGAGAAACAGACTTCGGCCGTCACAGTAAGGTTTATTCTTATTTAGAGAAGCTTTCCAAGTATTTTAGGGTAGGGAAAATAATCCATAGAGGAAAAGGAAATTAGGGTGCTAAGAATTTCCTGGTTTACATCTTTTAGAAGGGATTTCACAAGCTGAACTAGGAGGGTTATTGAATGTGTTTGAAAATGATTAGGGATCTGCACCGAATGTGTGGTTTTTGTCTGATCAAATCTGGCAGAGCCTGTAAAATAAGTGCAAAGAGTAAGTTGCTTGTTTCACCTTAATTCCAAACTGTATATTGTTAGTCTAACTGAACTAAGAGGAATGACTTTTCACACCCTTGCTTGCTGAACAGAGCAAACTGTTCACCAAAACAGGATTTCTTTATTTTGAGCTGTGAATATGATTTGTCTGTCTTCACTGAACAGCAGCTGCTAATATTTGATATCTGCAGGACTCAAAACAAGTAACTGAAGCCATGTTCTTAACTTCTGATTTACAGAAGTAGGGAACATAGGACAAGAGCTACAGATCAAAAACAGTTTCAGTAAAAGTAAAAAAACCCTTTTTGTTGTTTTTAAGTGCTGTGATGTAGCACTTATAACCTGACTGGTTCTTTCTGCATGCAGTGGAAATAGAACCTGAGCAGATTTGAAAATGAATGTTTCAAACTGTAAGTAAATTCAAATACTGTTATCCTTTGGTTTTCCTTTTCACTATCTGTTAGAATGTGGCATTCTCTTATAAGTGAAAAAGTCTTTACTGTGGGACTCTTTGGTGCTGTCATTTCCACATCTGCAACAACTGGGCAGACCATGTCCGCTGTACAGCACTAGGACAACTTAAAAGCCACTGAATGCTTTATTTCTGTACCGAGACTATTTTGGTATTTGGATTATTATTCGAGTTATTTTGAACTATCATGTGTTGAAAGTCCTGGTTTCATGTCTTGCAAAATGCACGTGGCTTTCAGTTTAGCTGGAAGACGCTGCTCCACACACCCATTTCCACCCCACTCAATTCCTTGCTGTGCACTTTCTTATATTAGAAATGCTACTGACCCTCCACACCCCAAGGTCAGGAAAGGTCAGCATTTGAGCCCGTGCCTTACACATGATTGAATAAGGGTCCTGGAACACAGGCTGTGGCTGAGTTTTGTCCCATTAGATGAGTCAGTTTTCCATTTTTGGGGTGGTAAATTTCATATGCAATGAAACAGGAAATTTCAGAGGGAAAACGGGGTCATTAAAATAATCCTGTTCGGCCCACTACCAGTTCTTTCATCTTAGAAAACATTGCTGTGGAGACACGCACAGATCCTGTGCATTAGTCTGGTCTGGATAGCTATCATCTAACGTTTCTGAACATTTGAATCTGAAGTGCAAAGACATTTCTGAGGGACAGTTTGAATGCTTTTGGTTTCATAATTTTTCTTTTTTCTCTCTTGGTTCCTCTTAGAGATTAAGGCTGGGCTAAGGGGATCCTCAGGCTAGTGTGGCATTTCCTCATATAGACTGCATGACAAAATCACCCCATAAGAAGAGATTTTTATGAGAAAGGCTTGTATAAATTATGAAGAAAAAGAATTTTGCATTGAAAACCTGAAACAGATATTTAAATATTGCGCAAGCTGGATAGAATTAAGGATAGTCTTGGTTTTTAGTTTCCAAATCTAAAAGCCATAACATTTTCTCTCCTCCTGTGCCTAAATCTAGAGTGTTAATAATAAACCACTTTGTTTGTGCTCTGAGACGTTGCCAAAGAGAGAAGCAAATTGCTACCGGTGCCACAGATAAATCCTGTTATTCTGAAAATTATTCCTCAGCCAGCTTCTGGGTAACTTAATTTTCTAGATGGTTCTTGATGAAGCAGTGGTGGAATCAATTGCTCAGAGCTTTTTGCTGTGACGGCAGCGGTGTGAGGGCAGCGAGTGTGACCGGGAGCCCGGCTGGGAGGAGCCGCATTCCCGTGCCTGGATCTCAGCCGCAGTCCATAGGGCTCAGCCCATAGGTCCCCTCAGCAGTACCTGTAGAGAGCCCTTAGATGGTGCTGTATAGCAGCGCTCGGCCCTTCGCCGCGGTACCTCCGCTGCCTCCAGGATGCCGGTGCCCCGCCTCAAGGCGGGCTGGAATGCGCTGGTAAAAGGCCTCCTTGGCCTTTCATCCCGCGCTGATCTCGGGCCATGGATGGAATTTCAACTTTTTTCGATGAAGTACGTGAGTTTAAAAAAAAAAAAAAAATCCAAGATGTTGCAAGAATAAGTTTTAGCAGCAAAAGTGGCCATCAGGACCTCTGTGTTCACATCAAGGTGTTCCTCTCAGTCAGAGCTTTCTGCCCAGGAGAGGGAATGCCCCTTTTGTTTCCTAACATTTATACTCAACCACTAAGAAATGCGTTTTCCTGCCCTTTGTTTTCTGTATATCCATGTATCCATAGTCCAGGTCTAAAATTTTGCCATAGTTCAGTCTGAAGAACCTGAAAAAGCTGTCTCTGAGCACTGCTAATTAGGATCAATAAAGGAAATCTGTCAGTAGAGACATATGAAATATTAAAATCAAACATAGATTTCAATAACTGCAATAATTTAATTCTTATAAAACTTGAATCATGCCATGCTTGGACACCCATGTCAAATATATTACTATCTGTCTCTAAAACAAAGTGCTTTTTAAATAATAATTAAGGAGTTTTTGAGGGCATGTGAGGATCATCGTGATGGAAGAATAGTGTTCACCCTGGGAACTTCTTCACATAAATATGGGTGCAGTGTTGTGGCTTTCAGGTTAAGTCTTTCCATGCTGGGAAACTCACTTTATTTCTGAAGAATTAGGGATGCAGATTTAGGAATTTGAGTTGTGCTGTCAATTACAAAGGACTGGAGGAATGGAATTTCCTCCAGCAGGATGGGTTTCAAACCACAAAGTAAATTTTATTTGGAAGCCGTTGGTGAAATTATTAAAGAGAGTTATTAGACAACTCTCAAATACTCTTGGTATTTAGACTTTTCTTTTGTAGTGAGGCAGGAGAGAACTGAGATGTTGAAAACAAATTGATCTCTGCCCCTCAGAAAAGACTTATGTGATTGGTTTATTCTAAGTTGGGAATATAGCCTTCCTATAGTTTTACTGTGTGCTTATGCACGTTCCTGTAATTTGTAAATGTTTCCCACCTGTTACTGCAATTTGAGGGGTTCAAGCCTGGGAATATTCTGGCAAAGCAAATGAAATATGCATATGAAATAATTCATGTTTTCAGAATGACTTCATTTAGTCATGACTTTTATTTACTTAGAGAGAGAGAGAGAAAGAGCTGGTGTTGTTACAATCTCTGCTCTATTTTTTTAATCTCTAACTTCCTATAACCCAACTTTTATTTTTTTGACATTTGAAATGTCCCAGTCTGCATCAACTGAGTATCCACTGTGTGTTCCACTTGTCCCAGTAATTCTCATCCTATGGTCTCTGTATGCTGTTATTTTAGGTGTATCCTTTGCCATTATGTGGATTGTTAACATTACCCTGAATTCTGCTGCCGTGGAGGTGTCAACAAGTACTGAGATTTTCTTTCTTGTGTGTTGAGAAACTCTGTAGCTGAAATCACTGTGACAAGTTAAATGTTACTTGGTGGTGACTTGTAGCCTAAAGCTGGTGGCTGTAAGTTCTCACCTGTGAAAGAGGAATCTTGTAGCTCTGCACAGTATGTTCTTCCAGCTGCAGCTGAATTTCTATTGTGTTAAAATCCTTAAGCAGCTGTAGCAACGTGTCACGCTGATCTGGCATTTTGCATCCTCAGAGCTCTGCTCAAATATTTGAACTGAGTAAGGCAGTCCACTGAACTCAGAGGTAGGTGAGTGTCACAACAACTGTACAGAAAAAGAAACAGCACCTGGGAGGTTAAAGCAACTTTTCCTCATCATGCAGCAAGTCAATGGTGGGGCTGGAATTACAGCCCAGGAGGTTCCCGGCTCATGCTACACCATGCTGTGGAGAAAGGTCATTTCCCAAAATAGTACAGAAGGTTTGTTATTGATAATAGGGTAACAAAGGGCTCTAGATGTATTAATAGGTCACTGTGTACTGCCCTTAATAATACATAATTTAGCAACCTTGCAAAACGGGCTACATCATATTTTTCTGCAGCAATATCACTTTCACAGTAAGTTTTGTCTACTACACTCCGGAGAGGTATTTTTGTTTTGGCTCTTCTAACACAGCTTTATTTAAAGTAAATAGGGACATTTACAAAGTAGGCATAAATAGCCTCCCGATTAGCAGCCACATTAAGCTGCACATTCAGCTCCCCTTTCAGGTCAGCACAGCTCCTCTGCCTGCCCAAGGAGAATACGGAGGTGATGGAGGATTTTGGTGGCAACATTGTCCCTGTGTTGTGTGAGACACAGGCAGCGCTGTCATACCTGGGCACTGCAGGAGCTGAGGTGCAAGCACGGGAGCCCACAGAGCTGCCAGATTTGGTGATGGTCTTAGGCCTTCCAGGGAGGAAGGCAAACCCAGTCCCCACCCAGTGGGACAGGGTAGAGGATGCTGAATACTTGTGAAGGGGTTTTCATTGAGATTTGGTCCCAGCCATTCCTCAAGTGACCTTGGGGATAGGATATTTGGTAGTTATTGTTGGATCTTGTAAATTTTTATCTTAATCTGCTTGTTATAAAATGCTCTTGATCCCCTTTGAACTTTATTACTTCAGCAATGTACATACTGAAGATTTCTGTTTCTTCTCAAAATGAATTATTTGAACTGCTAGGTTATTCAGCAAATTCAAAAGTAGTAAGTATAAACAAATTTATTTTTTTACCGAGCACCTGGATCTGCATCTACAATTGAGAGAGGAACAAAATGGTATTTTGTCTTAGCCAAATCTGAAGAATTGCAGTGAATAATGGTGAAAAGAACAACATTCACAAAGCAAATAGGTATCAAATCAATGTACTCAGCCCCGTTTTGGTTTGAGTTCGGGTGGAGTAAGTGTTTCCAAACAGGTAAATACAAGGGGAAGAAAAGGTGGAAAACAAAATATGTAAGGAAAGTAAAGAAGCAGAGCACGTGTAAGATACAGAAATGGCAAGGGTGCTGTTCTCTCCTCTTTGTTTCTGTGGATATATGTATTTGAATTAAGGAAACAATGGGAGCTTTATGTGCTGCATTTGCTTTTTAATGCATGTTGGTTGAAGTAATCGGATCTGTTGTTGTGGGCATGGGAATGCCAGCTTGGCTCTTATGGTCACTGACTTGTGAACATGACCTTCTGGAGGTCAAAACACTGGAGAGTTTGCTCTGTTTGATTCTCAGAAGTGCAGTCATAATAATTATTGCTTTGAAAAAACAATGTAGATGTTCCCTATCTAGTTTGTTATTGGTACTGAATTGTGGGATGGTTTTTGTGGTTTTGTTGTTGGTGGTGGTTTTTGTTTGGTTTTTTTTTTTACTAATTAATCTGTTTAACTATTTTCTAGTGGACTCAGAGTTTTTGAGGTTTGTTTTTTGTTGTTTTTGTTTGTTTGTTTGTTTTGTTTTGTTTTGTTTTGTTTTGTTTTTTTAAACCACAGTTGAGTTTTCATGAACAAAGTTGACTGATCAGAGATTGAATTGTAAATGTTATTGTTTGGTGCTTGATCAGACATCCTGTGATCATTTTTCCTAATGATCAAGTCAGCCAGATATAGTCAAACAGTCCCACATAGGAAAAACTGTACTTTCAAGGAGAGAGAGAGAGAAAAAAGTCTCTTGTGATTGATGCCAAATAATTCATGGCAAATGTTGATGGCTCCATAATTTCAGCATTGAGTACTGAGTACATCTGCCTCCCTTACTAGGGGACTCTAGAGAGACCTGACTAAAACATCCTATAAAAGAAGAGACAAATGATCCCTTTAGAGAGAGAGAGAGTCAGTTCATGCTCCTGGGCAGTGCAAAGCTTGAGTTCTTTTGGCAGAAAGGGAGGTTTCAAGGTCTGTGTGGTTTGTATTTTCTGGCATCAGATGACTTTGTGGTGCCTCTTTTTATGAATCCTGTCCAAGAGTTAGGGAAATAGCTGTCAGTCCTCAGCTTTCCTCATCTGTCAAAACGTATAGTATTTTAACACCAAGCATGACATTAAACAACCCATAGATTTTGTGGTCCCTCACCCAGTCTTCTGGACTTAAAGCAAAGCAATCACAGCATGGGTGATTAGATTGCCTACTGTGTAAACTTTATGTTCCTGGATAGTTTACATGGGGGTAGTTGTACTTCCTCAGAAATTCTTTATTTCTCTCTAAAACCTCACCAAGATACAACTATCATGTTGCCTCTATCAAAGATTCAGTTTGAGCTGATTTGAATGTGTGGGGTTTTTTTCCCAGTCTTGGTGAATAGCATTCTTGCCCCACACTGCTCCTCAAAATGCTGCTCACATTACCAGCTGAAATCTGCATCTGCTATAGGGCTGTTTGGGATCTGTGGGTTGGCTTACTCTGTCTAGGTAGTGGTGATGTTTTTCTGGAGTTAGGAGAGTTCAGACCTCCTTAAAACTGGACTTCTACTTACAACAGATTTGAGTATTTTTATGTCTTGCCAGAGAGCCTTATTTTTTTCCTGCTGCTCTGTGGCTTGATCAGGGCAAGCAGCACACTGTATATCTGCCTGCACTTGTTTGGCATTGATGTGGTGCCCTGTGTGTTATCCTCAGATTTACAGCGAAGGTAAAAAGAACAACCACTTGTTACCATCTTTTTTTTACCCTCCTCGATATGTGAAACTGCTCCATGGTCCTTCAGAAGCATATTGGGCTACTCAGAACCAGGGAGAATGTGCTAAACAAAATGGTGAGCAGAATTCTAAATTGATTGTCTCTGGTCCAATTCCTTCGAGGTTCTGCACTTCTGATTTGTTTTTGACAAGGGCTTTTTCACTGCTTTGCGATCGGCAAGAACTACTGGGGATATAAAATGTTTTGTAGCTGGAGAAGATACAGGGCTGGAAAAATTAGGAGTCGCAGCTGTTGTGTGAATAACTTTATGGACATAACTGTTTTTCAAGAGGCTTGTTTGTGGTTAAGTAGTTCAAGGCATTGCGCTTAGTCAGCAAACCTGTTTTCTGTAGCCCAAAATAGATTTAAATCCATTTGGACCCTTTCCGCTCCCCCCCACCTCCCTGGGTTTTTTTTCCTTGATATCTTTTGTTTACATGGTTTGACCTTGCTAAAACTATCCATCCCTCAAGACTTCCTTTTGCTCATACTTTAAGATTCTCATGAAGGTGTATCTCTACAATCTTTTTGACAGTGAATTGTTCCCCTTTTCCTTCCTTCTGTCTGTAGATGGAAAGTTGTTAGAGCTGGTTTGAAATCCATGCTACTTTTAATTACTAAGGGCAAAGTCCCACTTTTGCAAAGCTCTTCTCTTTCATTTCCTTCCCCTCAGTATCTTTGCATCACTGTCTTCTGGCTTCTGCCTGAGAGGGCAGGCTGCAGTCCTGGCAGTGAGAGGCACCTGACAGGTGCAGTCCTCTTCACCACTGGTAGATAAGGGAAGGTGCATTTTTCAGCTGCAGTCAGAAAAGGATCCACACTATAATCCTGAGTGTTTCTCTTCAAAAGAAGGTGAACTTCTATCGTGCATCTGACTGGCTGATGCTACAGTATGCAGTCTTTATTTATAGATGTGTGTAAATAAAAATAAATCTTCCTCTGCAGACTGCCAAATTGTATTTCCCAAAAGCTGAAGAAGCTGCAGTCCATTAGATCTGGAGGTGATGACTGAGCCCAAGTCTCTAGAAAAGAGCACCTTTTGTTCAGAAAGATTTTTTTTTAATTTGGCTGCTGACATGGGTTGTCTGCTGTTTCTTCCTGCAAGAAAGAAAGAAAATAGTTTTTATTTTTAATGTGTTAAAAAAGTCACCATACCGTGGTATTTAGTGTGCTTGCATTAATTCATGTTTTGAGTTAAAGAAATCATGTATAGTTGAGGGTGTATATGCTACAGTGGCAGCACAGACAAAACAAGATGTGCAGGCAGGGGATGAGGATGGATAATTACTCACAGAACGTGTTCATCTTCTGACATTATTTCTTCATATATATACTTCTGACATCTGCAAGGAGGAGGGTAGATCACTGGAAGCAGGCGCCCTGAGCAGTTGGTGTGGCTGTCTGCTGTTCGCCTTTCCAGGATGTGGGTTTGAATTACAGTGCACTCTTTGATCATTATCAGGAAAAAAGAACCATATTTGGAACTGGAAGTACCTTGAGGTTAACTTCCATGCCTTATAAATTAAGAAAAAACACTTCCTTTACTTCAGGGCCAACCTGTGAGACATGGAGGATGCAATACCTGTTTCCTAGTTAAGCTGCATTATTCTATTTTCTGACGCCGCTCATGTCCAAAACAACTTGCAGGCTCTGTCAGGGCACAGCCACATTGAGCTTGCTGGTGAGAAAGGGTTGGTTTCAGACCCTCCTGCAGGTCTTTGATTAGAATCTCCTAGGGAGTTTTATTGCCAATCTCAGGTCCTCCCTTTAATGAGCCAAAGACTGGATGGCCTCCAGCACACGCTTGATTGTCCATTAGTAAGAGAAACTGCTAATTACCAAGAAAGCCTCAAGATGTATGGGTGTGGGCAGATGCTGGTGTGTGGACAGGCTGCTGCCTTATCTTGGACTGTCTCTGCCCAGTGTCCCAGACTGCCTGCTGGAGTTGAAAAGGGTGAGACTTTCTTCCTCTGCTTAGCAGCAGTCTGGCCTGTGTCTGTGGGTAGGAGGTTTCCCACCTTCCCAGGAGATCTTTCAAAGACCTTTGAAAGAGGTGGCAGGGAATCTTTCCTTGAGGGTAACTTTCTTCATTGGTTGTCCTGTTTATTGCCAAGAAGGAAGAGTAAACAAGGCAAGTTGAATGCTTCCTCGGGATGCTATAAGATTTCAGATTTCACTTGACTAACAATATTATTTGTGCTATTGGATGTTGCAGGTGCTTTTCCCCCTTTTTTTTTTTTTTTTTTTGTTAACAGGAAAGAAGTCTTCAGAAAGTCCCCCTCAGAAAGCCTGTGATGAGAAGATGTGAGGGACTTGGCAGTCTTACTGGGGAAGCAAGATAATTGATCTGAGTTTGTTAGGACATTGCAACTTGTTACAAGTGAGAAACTGGACACACCCACAGAAAGAATAGAGCAAGAGGAGACAAGGTATGTGCACTTCTGCTGGGGTGGAAGTTCTCTGGCTTTCAGTGTTTGCACAGTAAATTCAATGTCAACATAGATACAGACAGGAGATCTCAGAGGAATTAGAGGTAAATAGCCTTTCTTTTTGAGGTTTCTACAAAGAGCTGCAGAGCTAAGGGATTTCTTTTGAGTTTTTGACCTGTCATGAATTGGCAGATGACTTGGGAGGAGGTAGTCCCTGGTCATTTGGCAGTGCCAAGAGCAAGCTTTGAACCGTGCAGGCCTAGGGCAGCTAGGAAACATTCCCACTGGATACTTCAGAGTCCTGGCCTTTCCTTGGCTGCCAGTGACAGTTTTAGGTGATCTTTATTTTCATTTGGTCATTAAAAGTTAGGCGTCTTTGTTTCTCTCTTAGACTAGCCCAGGAAACTAAAAAAGTTAAATGGGAAACATTTTCTGAACTGTACAGCAACATACCCCACCTGTTCTGTTTTGACTCTCTAAATGTGGAGGATTCTTGAAGTATCTGCCACCAAATGAGAGCTTGGATCTTGACAAGTTATTGATTAGGTGACAAAAAACTAATGACAACACTTATGTGACTTGTGCTGCCAATTGGAAATATAAAAGTTGAGGAACTGGCTTGTTACAGTGACAGAATCAAAAATCCTGATGGAAAATGTCCAGTTTCTACAGATTGCTCAAGAAAAACTCTCTGTGTACAGGAATTTGGGAACCAAATCCAAGGGCAGTCGGTTAAAAGATGGGCAGTAGTGCTTATTGTCAGGAGCCACAACCGAGGAAATTCCTGTGTCTTTTAAAGCTTGTCTGTGACAGCAAAACATTCTACTGGAAGAAACCTCTGAGAAATCCCAATTTATGGATTTTATTTATTTTTTTTTAAATTATTCTTTCTCCTGAAGTTTAGTCAGTAGCATTTACCCTGAGAACAGGATACTGGTTGGAATTGAGAAATGAATGGGTTCATCTAGCAGGGTCAACCCTTTTACCAGTCGTGGAGGTGAACTGTGAGCAGAATGAGCTTTTCATGTAAGTGGAGAGGGCCAGAGGAGGATGACAGTGATGTTCACAAGTATGGAGTGGCCTCTCCATACTTGTGGTGAGAGCAAACGGAGTGGGACCATCCGGCTCAAGGCACCCATAAAATAGCTTGGGGAAGGCTAATCAGGAGCTGTGTTTGCAGCGCAAGCAGTGTGGGGTAATTTCGTGTATGACTGCAGCAAACAAAGTACTTCTTACATACTGGGGTTACGTGTAACTTGTGGAACAACAAGGTGCTGAAGATATGAGTAGTTTTAAAGAAAAGACCAGAGTTGGTGACAACAACTCAGTCCTCCCTCTGTGTCATAAAGTACTTACGTCTCGTGCAGTCTCGTTAGGGATATGTCAGATGTGATTACTATGGCAGCAGCAAAGGGACCTTAATTAACCAAATAGCTCTTAGAAGAAAACATGATTGGATGCTTTTATCCCTATTTAATTCCTTGTTACACAAGTTGAACTGAGCACACGGGTCGGCTCACTGTCGTAAAGCAGAGCTGCTGCAACCAAGTTAAAGCAGGTACTTGGAAGAGCTTTAGACGGTAGGTACACACGTGTAGATGTGTACAATAAACTTTTGCAGGGCATGTGGCATTGCTTTCCTGTTAAAATTGGATGTGAATTAAAATTTAATATGCAGTTATTAGCTTTAATAGACTATCCACAGGAAAGTAACAACGTGACGACGGGGAAGACCATCAGCCTGGTTGAATAGGGAGCTTTTACTGGAACTTGGGGAGGGAAAAAAAAGAATTTATGACCTTTGGAAGATGGGGCAGACAACTCAGAAAAGGGTACAAGGGTGTTGTTAAGTCACGTAGAGAGAAAATTAGAAAGGTGAAAGCTCAGCTAGAACTCAATCTGGCCACTGCTGTGAAATATAATAAAAAATGTTTTTATAAATACGTTAACAACAAAAGGAGATCCAAGGAAAATCTCCATCCTTTATTGGATGTGGAGGGGAACATTGTAACCAAGAATGAGGAAAATGCTGAGGTACTTTATGCCTTCTTTGCCTGAGTCCTCAACAGAAAGACTGGTTATCCCCAGGGCAGCCACCCCCTGAGTTGGTAGAGAGGGATGGGGAGCAGAATAGACCCCCTGCAATCCAGGAGGGGGGTCTTAAGACATTCCAGTCTTAGATTTAGTTACCTGCTGTGCCACTTAGACACTCACAGGTCTACAGGACCAGATGGGATTCATCCAGGGGTTCTGAGGGAGCTGGTGGAAGAGCTAACCAAGCTACTCTCACTGCAGGAAAGATACTGAGGTGCTGGAGCGTGTCCAGAGAAGGGCAATGGGACTGGGAAAGGGTCTGCAGGGTAAGTCCTATGAGGAGCAGCTGAGGGAGCTGAGGTTGTTTAGTTTGGAGAAAAGGAGGTCAGGGGAGCCGTTATTGCTCTCTACAACTACCTGAAAGGTAGTTCCATCTCTGGAAGTGTTCAAGAAACGACTGGAGATGGCACTTATTGCTATGGTTTAGTTGATGTGGTGGTGTTTGGTTGATGGTTAGACTTGATCTTGGAGGTCTTTTCCAACCTTAATGATTCTATGAAATACATTTATCCGTAAAATGTGATGCCCCAATTTTGGGAAGTGTTTAAATGCCCCCTTGATTATATTTTCCTGGTTTGAGTGGCCAGAGGACTGAACTTCCTGACTCTATCTTAGAGAAATCTGTCACTTTGAGTAAGAATAAAACTTGACTGGTAAAAATGCAATCTTAGCACAGTATCACCATTTAACTGGATCTTATTTATTTTTAATTGAAATGTCAACTTAAAAGATGCAGTGCATATTTTTAAATCACATTGACATTATATTTAGATTTTTTCATTAAGTTCTAGGTACGCAGTCCCATTAAAAGTAGGTAGCTATAAGTATAAAAACATGAAGTCTTAATGCTCCCTTACTAAATATTAAGGGTGCAAATGGGCATTGCTCTGGTAACACCTGTGAATAGAGCTATTCTGGTACATTTTAAAAGTGTCACTGGAATGAGTGACAGCCACCAATGTATGCATATTATTTCAGAATCATACCGATGAAAGGAGCTCTCCTGCAACTTTACTTATAGTCTCATACCATTTAAATTTTTTCACAGTTTCAGGAAGAAAAGATTATGTGATTTTATTGCTAAAACAACTACTGCTTCTAACTGTGATGGAATGCAATTGTACACTGTGTACTGAAAGTCTAGATATCAGAAAAGTTTTGATCCCTGCACTCAAGGAGTACAAGACATGTATAGTTTGTCATAATTTATTTTGCTGGTTCTATCAAGAAATTCTGCATTATACTCCTCACAGGGTTTTAGAGAAGTTAGTCCTACAAGGAAGCCAAATGACTTTTTGCTTTCTTCTCAAGGAGCACTTGCTCTCAGTCCCCAGGCAAGCTCTGTGTGCATGACACTACAGAGGGTGAGCTGTGTGGTGGTGTGGAGGTGCCTTTCCTGAGAAGGGGCTAGACCAGGCTCATGTGATTATTTGTGGCAATGCGCTTAAGGAGGCAGTGAGAGCAAACCAGGAAAACATGCTCCTATTCCTTCCTGCAGTCCTGCAATTTATGGTTCCACAGTCCTACTCAACTATGTGTGAGCACATTAGTTACAGCTTTGACCCTCCCAACTGGCTTCCTGTTAAATCTGTTAAAAAACAAATTCTTCGGTCTGGCGTGTGAATGAACATTCCAGTCTTAAATAACAGGGAAAGAATCAAGAAAGAATCTGATGGTTTTTTGACCAGCCAGAAAGTGAGGCCTATTTTTGGTTTTGGTCACTTTAGGCTGTGCTGCAAACATTGGCAGGAAGGTCTAGGGGCTCAGTGAGAGAGCATTTTTCTCTTCTTTATTTAAACAGGCACCTTCCCAGAAGAGTAACAATCCAAAGTTTACACTTCCAGTGAAATGCTGCCTGAGAAGTGCTGGATATAAAAAGGTATGTGATAGAAAGTAGAGGTCTGAAAAGTAAAGTAGAGCAGAACTAAATGCAAACAGCAGAGGATAGTACAGGAACTTGAAGTCTTTTTTCATTAGCTGGGGGTTTTGCGTGGTTTTTGTTTGGTGTTTTTTTTTCTTCAGAGTTGTGTCATATGTTGCATTTTAATCATGGTTAAGGGGAAGGGAAATGAAACAATTAAAAAAAAAAAGGCAAACCAAAACAAAGCAAAGCCACCTCCTAGCATGGAAAGCCCTCTCCCATTTTAAAGTAGGGAAATAGGCTGCAGGGGCTTCCACAGGCCACAAAAAAGATGCCAGACTATCACTTTGTGCTCTTCTGCTGCGAAATTGTTGGGGTTTTTGGGGGGTTGTTTTGTTTTCCTTTTCTTTTAAACTTAATGAAACATTTCCAGTTGGTCTGTCCCCCCCACCCCTGCTACTGCTCAACTCCAGCTCTAAGTTACCTTTTCCTTTTTTTTCTTTTCTATTTTAAATTGGTCAGTCATACATGTAAATCTGCCAGGTTGGTCAAAGACAGCTGTCGTGCACATGTGGAAGCCCAGCAGCTGCATTTCTGATGTATTGCCTGGTATCAGGCAACTGGATGGCTTCCTAGGATACATAGTGTTACATTCCCAAGGGCTGTGCAAGGAGCCCAACAGCCAAGTAGAACTCTGGTGTAACCTGTTAACTCAGCCTGGGTCTGCCAAGGCATGTGTGCCGTCTGAGTTCACCCTGACTGGCCTGATGCCAGCAATGCCCTACTCCAGCTGGAGCACTCATCCAGGGAAAGAGACAGCAGGCTGCTCCTTGCAACCCCTCACCAGCATTTTAGGGAGAAGGTTTTTAAAAGCACTTAGTGGATTTGTGTTTGGTCAAGACAAGTCGCCTTGAAGACTCTTCATGGGGCATGGGACACTAAACCCAACACCCATCCCTTTTCTGGGGGCTCCTGCTGGATGCTCAGGCCTTGGCTGCCACATGTTCAATGTTAACTGTCACTTCAGGGATTTTTTGAGTGCCTCCCTGGGAGTTACTAAAACTTTGGTGCAAAAGACGATGCCTTTTCCCTTGCAGGCGACTCGAGTGCCTCTGTGATGACACACCAATTGCTGCAGCTCCACAGACACCGTAGAGGCTGGCAGACCTCCGGGTAGGAGTGATTGCACTGGTGTTTTATTAGCTCTCAGAAAATATATAGCAGGGAAGAGGCCGAGCAGGCTCCTGCACCGTCTGCCTGAGCTCTGACCCTTCGGGCAAGAGGCGAGATTGCTTTTACAGCCAGTACTTAACCTTGCCGCTGAGACTTGTCAACAAGGAGGCCAATTAGCAGCAGATATGATGGTGGGTGATATAATGGAGATGTCTGTCTGTTAGGAGCATAACTGATGTGCTTTTAACACAATGTGTATCTTAAAACATGGCTCTGCATAAATGGTGCCATCCCCTCTACTGTAGAAAATCCCTCTACAGTGAAGCGTTACAGAAAATTGTAGGTTCATTACTTTGTTTTTTTTTTCCCTCAAAGTCCCTCTTAAGCCTTGTTCTGCTGGGCTCATGATGACTATGGCATGTGTACAATTGTAAGAAATAATTCTGCTTGAAAAACATGTCAATTTTAAGTTAATTACTTTTTGAAAACATATATGACATATTAAAAATGTACATACATTCAGAATGAAAACAGAGCACTTCTTCTTTTCCTGAAAGGATCAGTGCCACCTGAGATGTTTTCTGTAATCACATTTGTCTATTGGTATATGTATCAGAAAAGACATACTAAGGGAGAGTTAATTGATTAAAATCGTGCAGGTCTACAGGCATGTTACAGCCACCTGCTGCAAAGGACAGTGGCTCTTTATGGCACATCAGCATGTGACACTAGTACCCCTATTTGGGTGCATGTAGGGGTTTTCTGTCAGATTATGAAGCTGGAGAGGCTGATTGCAGGTGGATGGTTTATGTTTTGGTTGAGATCGGGCCTGAGCTTTTAAGCAAAAGTTTATCATAAGACTCTAGGGCTGGAGCTACAACACGACTTGCACTTAACTGCTCACTGACTACTTAGGCAGTCAGGATAATTCAGTCAGATAATTCACCCCCCTTGCAGCTTATCTTAAGTAATTCTGCTGTCTGGTTTTGGTGATTTAGAACTTAATTAAACAATTAAGCCACTTCTTCATAGAATCATAGAATGGTTTGGGTTGGAAGGGACCTTAAAGATCCAGTTCCAACCCCACTGCCGTGGGCAGGGACACCTTCCATTAGACCAGGTTGCTCAGAGCCCCATCCAGCTTGGCCTCGAACACTTCCAAGGATGGGGCATCCACAGCTGTTCTGGGCATGATTTGCATGATTGTCTTTTAGTTGCTAGGATAACTATTTATGCCTAGTGCAAAAAACTCTACATAGAGTATCACTGTATATTTTCTATTACAGATATAGTCCGAGAGGAGAGAGAGAGGCGCCTCTGGTTGACCATGACCTCCCAACCCAATGTCCAAGCTTTTCCTTCACCTACATAGTCTCCAGCAAAAAGGAGCAGTGGATTTCAACTCCCAAGCTGTTAACAGCACCATGTACAAGGTACTGATAGAGGCCCTAAAAATTAGTATCCATGCCTCAGTAGAAATAACCATTTTTCAGTTGCTTAGGCCTTAACACTGCCCTAACTGAGGGCAAGAGCACTCCACATGTATTTCATGTTTACATTAATTTATCTGAGGATAATTTTTATCTAATGAATACCCAGATTATTTTTTTCCTTGGTTAGTATTTAAATAGTCCAACTTCCTTTTAGGAAGTTGAGTATCTTTTTTTTTTTCAGTGGACTGATTATACCTTTGCTTCTTGGAAATTGTTCCGCTCTCAGGGTTTCCTTCCTTAGTGTCCTCTGTGCATTTTAGTTATTTCATTAATCTTTGGTAAAAAAATAGGCTTTTCTACAATGCTGATGAGTACATGATGTTTTTACAATTTAAAAAAATAGATTTTCACTACAATATTTTAGCGCACCATGTTCTTTTATTCACTGCATAGCTCCTCTTTAAGGAAGGAGTTTTCCTGATTTCATTGGGGCCACTCCCAAACAAGGCCAGGTTCACTGAACTAGTGCTTAAGGATCTGATTTTTATGAACTGCATGTCTGATTAGAGTGCTCAGCAGAGGCATTATCCCCCTTGCAGAATCGACCTAGAGGGTTGGTACAAGCGCAGAGCCCACAAGGTGAAGTCCCGTAGCCATCCTAGGACTATTTGCCATATTTCTTCATCAGTAGTGGTAACCAATTTTTCAATTTCAATCATTGATAACATCTTCCCTTTTTTCTTCATATCGTCTTGCCTTGTTGGAGAATCCTTTCTCCCTGCCTCCAAATCAACTCTAAATATACTTAGGGTGGAAAAAAAAAAAGAGAGGAAGGAAAACCAAAAGGAAACAAGAATATAGCCAACCTTTTTAATTAGAGTATATTGTACTTCCAAACTGGATACACTAGAAATTGGCAATGCAACATAAGATGCAAAGAAATATACCAGTTACTGTCAAAATGACCCTGTACAGCCTTATAATGCAAAAAGCTTTATACAATACAAATTTTTATTAATGTACACAAACCTTGACAGAATGATATTTGAACATAATACAACAAGTAAAAAAAAAAAAGGACAGAAGAAAGAAAAAAGTGCTGAGAACTTTAACTGAATTACTGAATGGAAAAACACGCTAGCTCTCATTAAAGAATGCATAGTGAAAACCAGTATGAAATTACCTTTATGGTGGGGGGAATTTATCAGAACTGTTGGTCATTAATCAGTAGGGGGAACCTCTGGAGAACATTCCTTTCTTTAGCCTTGAACTGCAAACAAATTATTTTAATATGCATGAGCTCTGATAAATAGTGTATTTATTTTCTTAAAAAAATAAAAACCTCCTAACACACTTTTCCTTACAAAGAAAACTTCTATAACTTGCCAGAAAGAATTAATTTATCCTTTCCAAAGTGCTAAACAAATTTCCCAGGTACACTAAACATTACCATGTCAGATACCGGTACAGTGGAACACTGGTGACACGTGCACGCTGACAGCTCATTCCTGGAAGTTCCAGCCCTATTTAAACTGCCTTTTGGTTTATATAAAGTGTCCTACTAATATTCCTACTTCCTCCTGGACAGGTGTACTTTACCTGTCAGTTTGACAAACAAGCTTTTTTGATTTTTGAGTGTTTGCTTTTCTGCGATGAGGTCAGAGATACACGCGTGGAGTGTGTTTTACAGAACTGGTATAGTTTCTGGATGCAGATTGCAGATTTCATGCTGCAGAGATATTACACTTTTTATGCTTTGAGTATTTACTAATACGGTATTTTCTATTTTGTCTCTACTCCTGGAGAGGTGTTACCAGGAGTTATGATGGAGTAAAGCACGGTTGTTTACAAAGGTTTATACATACTTTGGAGCAGATGGGTTTTCTGTACTGTGCAGACAGAACCGCCACATGCTTGTTGGAACCAAAACTGCCTGCTGGAATGTAAATAAACTGGTGAGACTTCTCTGTCCTGGAATTAATATTTCCAAATGATAAGCTGCTATGATTTTAGATATTTCCCCCTTGTAAATAGCTTCCAGTATGTTAACAGGAGTGCACAGATTAGGGTGTCCTCCCCAAACAGGAGGAACTTGGTCATGACAGTGGAGAATGTTTGGCCATCTCAATACAAAATAGATGTAGGAATCTTGCAAATAGGTTAAGTGATGCAAGTTTTGCATCCAAAAAGTTTCTACACAAGCTTCATTTAAGAACTAATGAAGATTGAGTTACGTTTCTAGTTGTGCATATGGCTAAGAGCCCTTGTGGACAAGAAATGCCTTCCTGAACTAGGGCGTTGCTGTACTGCTGTCACAAACAAGGGGTTGTTGGATCCCCCCATCCCACAACAACCTGCCGGAGAAGTTCCTTCAGGGCAGCACGAGGGTGGGTAGATAGCATGACAGATGTGACTCAGGGCACCTCCTACAGTGGCTTGGCCAAGGGACAGTGAGGGGACTCTAGCAAAAGCTAGGTTGGACACTTCTAATACCTGGTAAAAGACAGTGAGATCCAAATCCAAGAGACACCGTGGAAAACAATAATTGAGTAAGAAGGCATTCCTGTAAGTCATACGATAATTTTGAAATGCTTCACATTTTATACCTCCAATTTTAATGCAGAGTGTTTTTAATCCCAGTCTTTCTTCCGGCACATTATGTTGTGTAAGGGGCACAAATCAATTAACAGTCAGTTAGCTGCTCTTAAATTAAGATCACTCTTGGCATTTTGAGATTAACGAAGGTTATACAACCAATCCGCATTCGCTTCTTCCTGCAATAAAGTGCTACATATAACATGTCATTTTAATGATCACAAGTAGGAGGATTAAATAAGTACAAAGTTAGCTTCCTAGCAGTGTACACTCTATCTGCCATTAACAAAAAGGAATAAAATATTACCAATGACATGGAGGGTAGCAAGAGGACTGTCAAATTTGCAAGTACAATTGAAATACTGAGGGTATAAAAGAGAACTGTATGGTTCCAAAAGCGTCTTTTTATAGCTTTATATTTTAAAGAAGTTACTGGTACCTTTTCAAATAAGCAGTCTTATTACCTTCAGCCCACAATTTGTTTTTTCTTTTTTTCTTTTTTTTGCAAGTGAGAAACAAACTAGTGCAAGACTAAAGCACTGTGCAAAACTGCCTTTTTTTTTTTTAGTCTGAGTATTTATACCCAGAATTTATCCATACCCTTTTTTAAATCCCCTTGTTGGATTTTTTTCCCACCATAGAATTCTAGTTATACAAGTTGTTCCTGCAAACTAAAAGGTAACCACTGCATAATACAGTATATATATATATATATATATATATATAATATTTATATGCCCTTTTAAAACAAAAGATGTATGTTATAGCCCAGATGCAGGTGTTTGTCACACCTGTGTAGCAGTTAAGAATTGGGCCTGCTGTGTGTATGTGTGTACATACGCATGGTTTTCATTGTCATACTCTCATCCTGCAGTGCTGAAAGCAACCTTTTCCTCGTCAGTTCTACCCCAAATCCTCAAACCTTGACAACTGAGTACAAGGCATCAAACAACTAAAGGAAGCTGCAAACAGCACTGAAATAATATACCAATTCCGCCCCCCACCCCGACCCAAACAATTGCTTCTTCCACAACTCCACAGTTCAGGGGGAAACAGGGGGAAGGGAGGGAGCGAGTGTGTGAAAAGGGGGAAAAGAATAATAATTAAATAAGCCCATCCAAGGGATGTGCAAAAGCAATGTCATGGCACACTACAGGCAGACTCTCTTTTCACGCACCCGCACGCACACAAAGCCCAAAAAATAAAATGCATCAATATGTAATCTTACAAGTGCTGATTGCCATTAAGGACACTCTTTTTTTTTCAGCTTAACAAGACAAAATAGTTTCTTAGATAAGAGTACTGGGAACATGCCTCTGAAGGTAGAAGTATGCAGTAGGTCACCTCTTGGAGATTTAATAAAGCAGCTTTCATGTCAATGCAATAAGTATATACACAGAGCCATTTGCTAAACCTTACTAACGATATAGTACAAGTGTTCGTTACCTCTTCGGTCTACGTTTTGCAGCCATGTATACCTGCTGGGTTTGTTGGGGTATTTTTGGTACAGAATGCAACTGCCCTCAGACAGTTTCTGCCCTTTCTGTTAGTCCAAGGTAGGCAAGGAAGGAGTGTTTAGGTGAAGAGGTACCTCCCGGTGCAGTCTGAGGTCGGGGTGGATGGAATGTGAGATCGTAGTGGTTTTTGGGGAAAAACATTGTTAAAGGAATAAGGTGGGCAAACTCTGAGTTCCAGTATTTATCAAAGCACAGGGAAGTGCCGTTGACGGCCAAGGCTTTCACTGCCAAGTTCGGCTCTGCCCCGCTGCCCTGTGCAGCTGACATAGCGACTGTTTGCAGAGCCTGGGAGGCAGACATAACTGAGAGGGGTGACAGAAGGTTTCTGGAGCTGTTCACCGGTAGGAGAGGACTGGCTTCCTTGGAGGTTGAATACTGGCCCTTCTTCTCCTCTTCGGAGCAGTCCCCGTTCTGGTGCTTCTTCACGTGGCGGCTGAAGACAAAAGGGTGGGTAGTCTTGAACAGGCACTCGTCGCAGCTGAAAGTCTGGCGTGGAGCATGCTTCAGTTTCTTGTGCAAGTTGAGATTGTCTTTGCGTTTGCAGCTGTAGCTGCACTGGTCACAGTGAAAAGGGCGCTCGCCGGTGTGGACACGCACGTGCTCGATCAGCTTGTTGGCCGTCTTGGACAGGTACCCACACTGGTCACACTTGTAATGGTTGCCAAGGCGGTGTTCCCGGATGTGCATCTCCAGCTCCAGCTGATTTGCTTTCACTGTCTGGCAGATCCGACACTTGTACTCCATCTTGTAGTGAGTCTTCAGGTGGCACTCCATCGCTGCGGGGCGGTTTGTGGAGTAGATGCAGAATGGGCACCTGGCAACACAGCAAGGAAAGGCAGGGACAGAGAAGAGAGAAGTCACTCAGCTTGAAGACCTACATCC